AAAATTCCACACTGAGGCTGTTTGTTACAAATTGTCTTAATCTAGATCCAATCTCTGTCTCAAACCACACTTTCTGCTGATCCCAAACAAACATCCTTTGATTCAAACAAAAATTTAAAAAAATAAAATATACTTTCCCTCTTCTTTGACTCTGGCTTTGGCTTAAAAAATTTTTTTTATTCTTCTCATTGGATTGCGCTGGTCTCACATTTCTATTCTCTATAGCTGTTTTGTTTTTCGTTTTTTGTTTTTTTAAATCATGGACTTTAGAGTAAAGCAACCAAATTACACTTTGCGGTCATGGACTCTGCTATTGACAAGGGGAGCTCTCCACGGTGAATCTCATTTCCTGGTCTTTAAAACTGAGATGCTAGTAATAACTGTTCAGCAGTATTGAGTGGGTGAAAGGATGTCACTGTGTACCTAGAACACAGAAATGCATCAGTGAGTGAGTTACGTTCTCTCTCCCCTATTACCAATCCGAGCCCCACCCCTCTTGCCGTTAGAGCCTGTTCTGCGAGCCTGTGCGTGCTTCCTCGATTGTTTCAGGTCATGTTTAAGTGACTCCTTCCTGATGCCTCACAGCACGTTTACCTATGCCCTCATTTATCACCACTATAATTCTTATCAATGCTTATATTTTATCTTCCTAAATTATCTTCAGTTCCATAAAGACAAGTGCATAGTTCAATTCTCTGCTTTTATCTTCCATGTTTCCTGAGCAGTGGCCAGCTGGGGAGTGGCGCATCACACAGAGCAAGTGGTAGATGGGGACGAAAGCGGGCTTCTCACCCAAGTTGCAAAACTTGGGCTTCCGAGTCTCTGAACTGTTTACCTGATCTTATTTGTAGAATAAAATCAATGTTCATTTAACCTCACTTGCACAGTTGTTATGGCAGGCTGTCTAATAAGTCACATGAAAAATTGAGAAGCATTTTACAAGGCATATTTTGGCATTACCTTGTTTTTGGAATATAACACATGACTACTACAGGGAGACACTGTGGTATGGTCTTCGCACACACCCTGCCATCCTACAAAATAAGAATGATTATGAGTTCCTCCATACAGATGAGAAAACCGAAATTTAGAAATGTTAAATAAATTGTCCAAGATCTTCAGCTAGTAAACGCAAGTTGATCTTAGAGCTATTGAATCTCAAAGTCCACTTGGATAAGCTGTACGAAAGGGAAGGTTTTAAATAAGAAACCGATAAAACAACCTGTTATAGCTGGTTAGTACTCTCATTAAGATGCATTATCACAAATGTCCTAAAAACATAAAGAAGAATAAGAAATAGATAAATTGTAGGGGTAAGTGGATGTCTAACGGATAAAAATGACACAACTATAACAAGCAGAGGGATCTTTTACTTTCCGTGTAAGGGCTTTTTAAAAAAATTACTATGCTTCCTTTAAAACACTGCTTAAAATTGTACTGCTGCATTAATTTTTTTATTGAGTTATAGTTTATAGTCAGTTTACAATGTCATGTCCATTTCTGGTGTACAGCACAATGCTTCAGTCATACATGAATATATGTATGTGCATTTTCATATTCTTTTTCACCGTGAGCTGAGACAAGATCTTGAATATACTTCCCTGTGCTATACAGTATAAACTTATTCATGTATTTTATATATACCTGTCAGTATCTGCAAACCTCGAACTCCCAGTTTATCCCTATATAACACTCTAGGTATGTATTACTACTTTCTGGGTCCATATATTAGTTGATAAATTGATCATTATTTGCCTTCTGTCTACAAATCCTCATCCAACCGCAGATAATTCCATTTCAGTCATTATAGGATCCTCTTCCTTTTACCAGGGTTTTGACTGATTTGAGCTTGATTACATCAAGAAAAACACAAAACGGAAAGAAAACCCTTTTTAGTCTATCACTACAATAGATTTCAGTTTTTAAAATTCAATATTACTGGGGCACAATTTATGTAAAATAAAATATGTCTCTTTTAAGGACACCGTTGGATTATCAACGGCAAATGTACGTCGTGGTATACCACCCATCACCCCAGAAAGTCCCCTCGTGCTCTTTGCGTTGAATGGCCCTCCACCTCCTCCTCAGACAATTAGTGATCCTTTTTCTTTCACAGTACATGATTTTTCCTATTCTAGAACTTCATATAATTGGCATCATAGGGCAAGCATTCTATTGTATAAGAGTATGTGGCTTATTTCACTCACGATATTCATAATGTTTTTATCTGTGTTTCTGCATGTATGCATATTTTGTTCCTTTTTTAATTGCTGAGTCGCATGCCAGTATCTGCATTTAACACAATTTATTTACTCATGCCATTCACCTATAATGGATATTTGGGATGTTTCCGGTTTTTAACATCTTCATTTTTGAGGAAACAGTGAACCCTTGCTCTGTAGCGGCTCTCTGCTGAGCCTCCTGGAATCAATGGGATAATCAATTAATCATGTAATTATGGTTTTACATTCCCAGGCCATCCCCTGTAGCCCGAATACCACCTCAGCATGCCTCAGTTCAGTGGCGTGTGGCCCTGGCTGGTGGCGGAACCCTTGTGTGAAGTCCTTAAGGCGTTTGGGATCAACAAATAAATATAAAAATGGAAAGGAAGAAGTGTACAGTGTCTCCCTGTGGCAAGGAGCACAAGACGGTGCAGCAAACTGGACTGAGTAATTACAGCAAAGGAGTAAAGATAAAGCCACCTGGAGAAAACGCTTAGATTCAAATCAACACAGTGCATTTTATTCTAATTAAAATAATTTCACACACGTGGCCTTAGAGTGCAGGGAGCAAAACTGGTACCCACAGGCCCAAAGGCAAGTCTGTTTCTAATTGCATAGTTTTAAAACAATAGTAATAGAGCTGTCAATATTTAATTTAGATATTTCATGCACGTGTGTATGTATGCACACACACACGTATACACACATCACTGAGCATTTTAGTAACTCTGGGTCCTCATTCTCTTAAGATAATAAGGTAATAATCCCCATGGTATTTTCAGTAATAAATGAATAAACATGAAGTTCTGATATCCGCATTTTGTTACTGGCCTATTTTTCCTCAAGTAAATCTGAAAGATAAATTGGTCACCTTGAGTTTATTTCTGGAATAACTGATTGCACATGTGTTTACAAAAAGCAGTGACCTCCTGTGCCTTCTTGGATTCCTCCATCTTCAGTATCAATTAGTATTCCAATATTTTATAACCTACTTCTGTAATTAATTTATTTTCCTCAGCACTTACCCCATCTAATGTTCTGAATATCCCCGTTACACATATTAAATTTCATGTTTGTGTTTTCATTTTCGAAGGTGAGGCCATGGGGGTAGGAGACCACTGTCTCGCTTGGCTGAGTCCTGGCCCTTAGCACAGAGGTACGGAGCAGGTCATCCACACATTATTTGCTAAATAAATAAATAGATGAGATGCACAAAAGGGGAATTAACTTTGGCTCTTTTTCTGGTGTGACATATTTATATTAAAAACAATCACACCACTTATCAGGTCCTTACCATGTGTCAGGCAATGTTTTGTGCAGTTTTCACATTTTCACTCACTAAACGCTCAAAACTCAGTAGGTATTTGCTACTAATGAAAGTGTTTTAGGATAGAGGAACCAAAGCACAAAAAAATTTAGCTATCCAAGAATGGATAGCTAAAATGCTAAATTTGACCTTCTGAGTCCAGAGTCTGTGCTTTTAGCATCTATCATGTCCCTCAAAGCAGAACCACCTGAAAAGGAAGAGTGTTAGATTTGGTTGTGGAGAAAAATGTTTCCTTCCTAAAAGCGGAAATTTTAGGAAGTTCTTTTAGTAGAACTTTCAGGAAGTTCCCTTCCTAGCACAGGGACACATAGTTCCCAGGACATGGTCCAGAGCCATGGGATGGGGGGCATGGGTCCCAGTGGTTCAGCTTCTCCCAATGCTAGAAATCAAGCGTCTGTGTGTCCCCACCAAAGTCACATGTTGAAAGCCTAAAGCCCAAGGTGACAGCGTGTGGAGGTGGGGGCTCCGGGTGTTGAACCGATCGTGAGCGCAGATCATGAACAGGACTGGCGCCCTGATCACAGAGATCCCAGAGAGACACCTCGCCCTTTCTGCCGTGTGAGGGCTCGGTGAGAAGTTGACAGTCTGCAACACAAAAAAGGAATTTCACCACAACCCAACCGTGCGGGCACCCTGATCTTGGACTTCAGCCTCCAGAACTGTGAAAAACACATTTCCTTTGTTTATAAGCCAACCTGTCTGTGGTGTTTTGGTGGGTGGAGATACCGAAGGACTAGTTACTCTTACGGACCACACTTCCTAATGAATAGGAGGGTCATTACTGTGCGAGTTTAACTGTATGAACACTTTCTCTTTCTTTTCTTATTCTCTAAGCCCCACTCTCTTCCTGCAGTGAGCTGATTCAAATTCTGGTGAAGGAAATCTCCCAAGTATACTCTCCCTAATGTGATCTAACTTTCAGCAATCTGATTATTTCTTTGGAAAAAAAATAATAAAGTCATGTATATGCATGCGTGGTGGGTGTTTCTCAATGCATACACACCCTGCTGAAAAGGAAGGTGGAACACGCTTTCAGTTTCATACCACACAAGGCTAAAAGAGAAAAGCCATGGCTGGTGAGTTTGGGTTTTGTTTTTTTTTTTACTGTCTAAAAGGACACGTCTTGGGGAAGAAGTAGTTTTGGAAGGGCTGTTGTTTTGTGAAAGCCATGATTAAGTTCTGTGAATATAACAGTGAGCAGAGCAGAGGGGGTGCAAAGAGAGGGGGCGGGACGGGGGTAAAGGGAAGGACGGCAGGGGCCCAGAGGTCCCAGTCTCTAGAAAGGAAAGGCGAGAGTCAAAAAGGAACTGGGCTTCCCTGCTACACTGCTGTCATTTTGCAATCTTAACTGAATTCTTCATGTCCTGATCGGACAGAGGGTGCAGAACTGTCACAGAATGGGAACCACGAGCTGCTGTCCCCAAAGCAAAT